AGAGAAAATAAAAGCTTCCAAGTGAAATTATATATGTGTGTGTGTGTGTGTGTATGTGAGAATTTCAAAATTTCAAGCATTTCAGCAGTTAAATAAGTAGTGCATAAAATTTTCAAAATATGTTCACTAATTACATTGCACACTAAAATTAAACACACATAAACATGGGGGATTTGAACATATAAATTCCTACATATTTTTTAAATTCAATGGGTGATGATGTTTAGGTAATTTTTGACACATTTGTTACCAATCATGATGATTACGACCATCCTGTTGTTTGTCGATTGCCTTGAGCAGGCCCCAGTAACATCTCCTTCATCCTAGCCCTGAGATTTTTTTAAAAGTGCCATATTCAAGGCTCTTTCAGGGTTAGGAGAATGAGACCCATCATTGTTACTGGTATTTGGCATATTGGGTACGCCACGGGGAGTTTGCCAGACTCTGCCATGTGGGCAGGTTACATTCCGTAGCCTGCCAGTTTGTCCAATATAGGAATGAGATAATAAGATGTCGCGCGGCTGCAAATGCGGCCACGCACTTCTGGGAGCTGTGTTTTATAGTCTCTGACTATAAAACCCAGTGTATAGTGTATGTTACCAATACACTACCTTCCATTCTAAGAAAGTAAGTCACAGTAAAACAAATACACATCATGAAAACCACCTTATAATATAGAAAACAATGCAACAGAATTTGTTTAAAGGTGGGAATTTTCAGTAACAGTCATCTCTCTAGTAGCAACATTGACAGTATATGGAGCAGGTGGTATTTACATCATCTGTGTATTAGATGATCTACAATTTTACTTAAAATGGCTTTATAGTTAAAACAGTGTCTCAATTTGTCTTACTTCAAATTAATAAATTCAATTTGATTGGAAGAAAAATAATGTCAAAATGCACTTGCCTGAGTTTGACAAGCATGGCATTTGAATGTTCGGATTTTCGACCTTACCAAAGCTATGTACACACTCAACTATCCTATCACCATACAATAAAAAAGATGTTTACCCAACATATGCATACAGATTAAGGTTTATCTAAAACCTTTACAGGTAGAGATTAGAAACTGAATTTAGCACTGGAGACTATTATTGGCACTCTATTTACTATAGTGGAAATAATTCAGTCACTCCTCCCCACTCCTCCCTGAGAGGCACCTTTCTTTACTTCCTTTTGTCCCCTTTGAGGTTTTTCCTCATTTCACCTCCATGTAAGTCTCTGTAAGTCTAAAGCCTACCATTGACACAAACCAGAAAGGCTTCTGATCACTACTAATGAGTATGAATATAGAAATTAAATAACCTTAGGGATGTAATGAATTAAAAAAACATCTTATATGCAAGTGTGTGAGGCTGACTAGTAGCACATTATGAGAAAAGTTTTCATTAATCCTCTCTGCTCCCATTTGTAGATGTGTAACTAGTTTCTGTTGGTCTGAGTTCCCTGAGTACCTGGCTCATGTCACACCTTAAGACAACTGTAAATAAACTAGAGGTTCAATTTTAGATTATTTCAGGGATAAAGTCTAGCTTAGAAATAACCTCTGCTGAGAAATAACAAGCAATCTCTAGTGGTCAAACTAGATGTAGTTAATTTTATGGGCAATACCTCCTCCCCTTCTAATGCAAATCTTGTCTTCCCCTTCACAACTCAGTTCAACTAGCACCACCACCATGAAGACTGCCCTGACTTCTTCTGCTCACCCTGACACGGGCTGAATGAGAATTTTTCTAAGTTATTGCCATCAATCATTTTAGTTCTTAATCAAGCAGCATTTTATATTGTTGGTTCATGTTTCATGCTCAGGGTTTATTTCAAAGAAGATTTAAGTTCCTTAAAAGTAAGACCTTTGATTAGACTTTCCCATATGCTTCACAATACCTAGTGTTAAGTAAACAGTGATTAAATATGCTCAATTGTGGAAAATACAAATTAAGCACCAAATGGATGAAATACACTTGGCTTAAGAGAGTAATTATTCTCTTCACCTAAACTGCTTTCATTTTTCCCATCTTCCACAGATTACTTCCCATTTTTCATTCCTCCAGCTCTTGCCAGTTATTAGCAGCTTAGGCAATAAGCAAATGAAATATATTATCCAAATTGCAAGAGCTACGGAATGTCAAAACATCCTTTGGGGGGGCTTATGACTGAAATCCTAAAGAGAAAAGCTACAACAGCTTTCTCCTTTAATAGGAATGTCTATTTAATATATATGAAAAGACTGGAGGAAGAGGTACTTAAGGGTCTCTTCAATGTCTCAAGAGTTCCTCCAAGATGCATGCTGAAAATAGACTATAGACTGAACATGATAGCCACTCGGTGCCTCTTTTGCGAACCACAGCACCCAAAAGGAGAGTGAGAACAGGCTGGGAATGGCCTGTCACAGGGATGGGGTGGGATGGGGAGGTGGGGGGTGGGAGGGATGCTGGGAGCATTGGAGGTGGGGAATGGTCACCGGTGGAAGGATGGGTTCTCAATCATTGTATAATTGAAACCCAAGCACAGGGATTTGTGGGTCTGCAACTGTACCTCATGGTGTTTCCCTAATAAAATTTTAAAAGAGAAAAAAAAGAGTTCCTCCGAGAGACCCATACTATATACCTACAGGTCTTCAGAGAAAGTGGACAGTGTCCCAGTGAGCCTCTAATGTTCACAAAAATTCGGATAAACAGTAAATTGATACTGACTTAGTAAAAAATGAGCAGATAAAGAAATCACCATAAGTCAAAATGTATGCTTTCAATTCATATGATACTGACACTGTTCTCTCAAGCAGTTTATATTAAGTAAAAAGAAGAAAATATTTTATCAGGAAACAATCCTTTGTAATTCGCTTTAGAGAAAAATCCACTAATGTCCAGTACATAGCCATACCAATTAAACTCATTAGCAAAGGCACATTAAAAGGGTCATAGAGAAATTATTTTACCAGGCATAGTATAAAAGGCCCTCTCTAAATTGAATAGTATAATCACAGCTACACATATCCAACAAAGATTATTTTGATTTATTCTATTCATGGATTAATTTTTATATAAACACAAAATCTGCATGGAAGAAGAAAGGGTAAAAATTTCACTTCTATTCTCAATCACTGAGGAAGAAAATGAGAGGTCTATTACTAGAAATTGCCTATTAAGTGACACTGTGGCACTGTCGTCCCATTGTTCCTCGATTTGCTCGAGCAGGCACCAGTAATGTCTCCATCGTGAGACTTGTTATTACTGTGTTTGGCATATCGAATATGTCACAGGTAGCTTGCCAGGCTTTGCCATGTGGGCGAGATACTCTCGGTAGAGGGAAAACTGAGAAAGTAACTAATGGTCATATACAAAAAGGGAGAGTTGAAAATCGCAATCAATACAGTTTTTAAGATGTTGTGAAAAAGTGATGTAAGCAATAATAACATCCAACTCACTGTAGAACTTACCTTTCAGTATAGCCAACTCTATATACGTTACATTGATTTGTTCAATTACTCATTTTTTCAGCAAAAAATTATAAATCATCCATTATAAATGAGGCACCAACTGAAAATACTATGAGTATGATACATTCATCAGACTCAAGGAAAAGGTACAGAAAAAAGAAAACTAAGTATCTTCATGAAAAGTAGTGTCAGAGGGGCTGGAGCAATAGCACCGCTGGTAGGGCATTTGCCTTGCAAGCGGTCGACCCGGGTTCTATTCCCAGCATCCCATATGGTCCCCTGAGCACCGCCAGGGGTGATTCCTGAGTGTAGAGCCAGGAGTAACCCCTGTGCATTGCCAGGTGTGACCCAAAAAGCAAAAAAAAAAGTAATGTAAGAGGCAAATAACCTAACTCTTGCAGTAAAATCTAAACATTTCAGTTACTCAAACACACTTTTACACTTGGTCATTCAAATGTACTTTTACATTACTTAAACAAAAGCATTAAAAATGTTTCATTTTCAATAGTTATCATTTAAGGAGGTACTTAACCTTTATAGTGAAGCTAGTATCTATTTAAGTTCTGTGTGCCAAATGTCACATTCACTTCACCCTTGTCCTGTCCTTACAATCTACATCTATACTCAATATGTCCAAGTAAATAGGAAATATTTTTTAAATAAAAGAATCATAACAGGGGAGCTAGAGTGACAGCACAGCAGATAGGGCTTTTGCCTTGCTCGCGGCCAACCCAGGTTCAATTCCCTGCATCCCATATGGTTCCCTGAGCACCACTGGGAGTAATTCCTGAGTGCATGAGCCAGGAGTAACCCCTGTGCATCGCCAGGTGTGACCCAAAAAGCAAAACAAAAACAAACAAACAAAAGCATCGCATCAGCTGTCAACTGGGATTTTATATAAAATACTCGGTCACGGTCCGGTCCTCCCGTTGTTCATTGATCTGCTTGAGCGGGACCAGTAACGTCTCCATCATGAGATTTGTTGTTAATGTGTTTGGCATATCGTGTACGTCACGGGTAGCTTGCCAGGCTCTGCCGTGCGGGTGAAATACTCTCGGTAGCTTGCCGGGCTCTCCGAGAGGGGCAGAGGAATCGAACTCGGTCGGCCATGATAAGGCAAACACCCTACCACTGTGCTATTGCTCCAGCCCATATAAAATACTAAGAAGAAATATAGTACACATTAGTTTGAAAAGAGAATAAGGCTTAAAGAGCCAACAGTAGATGACTATCTACTCTATGAAAACTTCTAGAAGACCTTCTGACTTGGAGTTAATAAATCATCTCTGCTTCACACAATTCCTGATTGAGAATTCAGTTTTCTTTCCAATTGGGATTTTCTTTGTTGTACAAATATATGGACTATGCAAGTTGACGTGTAAGATGTATGGAAAAATAAAACAGCATTTATTTAAAAGAATATCATAATTGACCTATTTTAGGTTGTTCACAAGCTATTTCCTTCTAGTACATGGGATCCAAACATAATTCTACTATACATGTGTCTATGTGAAATATCCAAGTATACTCATCAATCAGTAAATAAAAGTTTGTTTGCCTACCTTCTGCGGCAAAAAGAGCAGCAAAAAATGGGCAGAGATCCCAGGATGATGATGCCGATCATACCAAGTCCAAACATCCGGAACATCTGTGTAGGTGCTGTTGGTTTAATTATATCCTGTTACTTTTATGACTTAAGCGAGAGAAGCAAATCTAAGTTCTCCCATAAAGTCATTATAAAAGAGTATCAGTTAATAAAGTAAAATAAATAGATATTCTTAAATGATCACTAATTATCCATGCTATCCATAATTATCCAAGTCACAGGAGTTTATGAAATATCCTTGGAAGCTTACATGATTAGATACCCAGCAATGGATGTCTTAACAAAATGATACTACCATTTTTGTCTCAAATTGTTACTATTTTTACTGTATATTTCTTCTTATAATTGAAGGGTTATGTTTTTTTACCTTGGCCTAGGTTGCATCTCAGTGACTTAATCTAGAAATAGCCTGATAAAGAAATGTTTTATTAAATATTTACTTCTAATATTAAAACACATCAAATTAAGCAAGAAATCAAGAATCTGAAAGTGAATAGAAATATTTTATTCTAATAATCATTTGGAAATGCATTATAATGTGATCAGGGAATTGTTAGTCATGGTTCAATTTTTTGCTTTACAAAAACTAAATGTCTCTTTGCACATAATCTGAAGACTAAAATGATGAATGAATTATAAATACCATGTGACAGTGTTAAAACTATACTACTATATTCATGATCATGTTTCTGTATTCATGATCAGGTTTCAGTTTCCATTGTTAATATGAGATGTTCAACAAAGAGCTGTAAATTGAATAGGAATTACATTAACCTAAGACATTGTTTTTCATGCATCCATTTATAGTATTTGCAAGTGTTCATAGCAAATATATCCATCATGGGACCAATTCGAAATATGTCCCCATATCAAAACAAAGGAACAAATAACTTATGGTCTCGTTCTTGATACTTTCTGAAAATAATTTTAAAATAAAATTTGTATTCAAAAACAAAATAGCAAAGATCAAGTGATAAAATAATTCAGTAAGAAACATTCAAATCTATGTTATATATTGAGATGTTGATAATAAGATAGATAAAAAGAAATAGGAAGTGAGAAGTCATCTAAAGAAGCCTAACTGGTATATTTTCTACGCATCTAGAGTTACATCTCAGAAAAAAATTACAACTCATATTCTGCAATCTTTAGGACAAGACAGAAGGGGATAAAGTCAAAATGAAAAATGAGACTAATTTTGAACTGTCAAGAGTCATGTCTGTGGGCTAAGCAGAAATCACTCAAGAAAAGAGGCCAGTCATGTCAAGACTTTTTTACACAGCTCTAACGCTGGAAGCCTTCTTTGAGTGTATGATGAGGCCACCGTGACCTGTTTATTGATTTTTCAAACAGAAATATAATATATAAAAAGGGTGAACTTACTATCTTTAAATGGAGTCAAACAGTTGTTGTTATCGGTCCCAAATGGTGAATAACAGCATTTGTATCTCAAGCATTCACTCTGGTTAAGAGTTTGTTGCACATTGCATGTCTTACTGTCCTGATTATCCTTTGGAATGCATGCTTTTAGAAACAAAATCCAAGGAAGATAATTCAGTACTGCTAATAAGCACTTTCCCTAATTAATAATTACAAGACAAAAATTTTAATTTAATACTTTTAAAGAAAAGATTGAATGACATACAAAAGTAATAATGAATGCTGAAGACAATAAAGTTCAACTGAAAATACATGACATTTCCAATTTTAGGCAAAATGGAGAAAAACATAATTTGCCAACCAATCATTGGTAAGGTAGCCTAAAAGTACCCGAGATCATAAGCTGAGAGTTAGTGACACAAATATAACACAGAAAGTCAAATGTCCTGAAAAACATCTTGTTAAAATGAGTTGGTGACACAAATATAATACAGAAGGAGGAGTGGATCAAATGTCCTGAAAAACATCTTGTTAAAATAGTGCCACAGATAAATCCTCTCAATCAATTTTTCCTATGCTAATTGACTAGATTGGTGAGAATTAATGTAGGTAAAATTCATGAAGTTGACTGCTAGAGTAATGTTAAGTGATACAACTGCTGCTGGCCTGTTGTCTGTGAGCACCACGTTAGCACTATAATATGCTTTAAGATTCTTTTTTTGTTTGTTTCTTTGTTTTGTTTGGGGCCACACCCACCAATGCTCAGAGCTTATTCCTGCCTCTGTACTCAGGGATCACTGTGGCCTTGGGAGATCACATGGTGTGCCAGGCGATCGAACCCAAATTTGGCCAAGTCCAAGGCAAACACCCTCTCTGCTGTACTACTCTGATCTGTTTTAAGATTCTTCCTTTTGACACCCCCACTGATATAGAAGAAAATATTCTACACAATGTATCAGCTAAAGGGTTAATATCCAAGATATATAAAGCATTCACAAAGTTCAACACGTCAAAAAAGGCAATTTTTTTAAATGTCAAAATGAGATAGAGACAATTTCCCAAAGAAGATATACAGGTGGTCATAAAGCACATGAAAAAGTGTTTATGGTCACCTATTAGTAGAGAAATTCAAATAAAAACAAAATGTATTATTTTATGCCAATAAGAATGGCATATATCAAAAATACTGGAACAAACCAGTGCTGACAGGGATGTAGTGGGGAAAAAAAAAGAACCTTCATTCACAGATGTTGAGAATGCTGTCTGACTCAGAGCCTCTCTGGGAATCAGTGTGGAGGCTTCTCAAAAGAAGTTAGAATAAAGGTTGTATATGACCCAGCATCCCAGTTCTTGGCCTCTTAATCCAAAATACAAAAACATTAATTTGAAAAGATATATGCACTTTGTTCGTGTCCGCTGGACATATATATCCATGTCTGCTGTAGTGCTTAGTACAATAGACCAGATAGGGATACAATCCAAATCTCCAAGAGAAAGAAGAATGGACAAAGAAGTTGCAACATATATACAAACAGAAGTCCATGCAGCTATAAGTAGAGATGAAATCATGGTTGTTTTTTTTTTTTTGCTTCAATATACATGGAAGTGGAGATATCATGTTAAAGTGAATTAAGTCAGAGGGACAATAAATACCACATGATCTGACTCATCTGTGAAACACAGACAAAACAAGAGAACAGATAGTATCAAATTATGACAAACCCCTGATTCTGTAATAACAAAACCAATTCCAAGGAGAAGGGACAAGAGTTTGAGGTAGTGGGAAATGAAGATTGAACTACAGGTGTGGTAGGGACAACGATGAAGGGTCACAGGCATTTGTCATGGTGGTGAATACAGCAGCTATCTACATCAATATCAGATACTTCACACTACTGTAACCATTTTACATAGACTAGAATAAAATAAAATTCAAAGAATTAACAAGAAACAACAGCAAAGGTTCTTTCTTTTGGCATTAGGCTATCACTAGCTATTCATTTACAGCACGAAAAACAAGACTCATGCAACTGCAATAAATTCATGCATATTTGTATCCAAAGGTCCTGAAATCCAAACAGCTGCTATTTTTAAAAGTAAAACAAATTATAACCCAAAAATGCAGTTACCAGAGTTTTTTTCCAAAAAGAAAACCTCCGATTTGAGCTCAAAGCCAACATATATTAGTTCAATCTACAATTCCATCAGCCAAATGCAGATTTAGAAAAGTAGCACTTGATGTTTTATGATAACGCTAAATCACTTCAACATCAAAAAAGAACAATATAATAACTATATTATTCAAGGTAGAACTCTCGGTATATTTTATTTTATTTTATTTCTCTTCTTTAAACACTGGCAAGTTCTCAAACTAAGGTAAAAATAATAACAACTACGACTCACTGGCAACCCATTTGAACCAATTATCTTGCTTTATACATATTATTACTAACCTTCACAGTGACGTATTAAAATGTGTTTACAAACTCCATTTTTAAAGTAAAGAAAGAAAGGTTTGAAGTAACTGTGCAAGGTAACACAATAAATGTATTACTAGTTGGCCTGAATATTTGTTCCCAAAACACATTAGGCATGTGAGGATTTAGCCCGCTTTGTTATCATATATTTCAAACAATAGCTTGTTAAACTGTATGGGGTCCTGTACCTGAGTGTGGGGATCACAAAAAATGTTGTTTTTAAATAAATTTATTACTATTATCAGAATTCTATTCGTATTTTATATACCCAGGGTTGTGCTCCCACAACAATCAGGGATACGAGTGGACATGTTGAAGAAGCCCTGCTCGAAATAACAGGCTCTTCACTTCTGCTAGATCCAGGGTGATTCTTTCCCCACAGGCTGAACTGCATCAAGAATGCCAGCTGCAGTCCTGTGCATCATACAGCCAAGCTGACAGCAGTCAGGGCCCGGTCAGAGACAGAATGAATTTCCTGAGTGCTAAGTGCCTCACTATAGGCATTGTTCAAAGACCACTTTCCGGGAATGTAAATAATAGAAGAGATTTTAAAATAATTGGAGAGACTGTACTAGATGCTCTCTAAAGTCCTATTAAATGCTGAGATTGTTAATTTAACTGCACTTGATGGACCTGACGCTAGATACTAAAATGAACTTTCAGACTCAAATTACTAAGAAACACTTATAATTTTGAAGAATGAAAAGGGTAGAACAATTTTCATCAGGTTGAAGTATATAATTTTGTCCAAAGGGAGAAGGATCATGCGCCCTCTCAAGCTTCCCTGCCAGTCTCTCTCAAGGTTATCATTTTAATCTGTGAGAGATGAATCTTTTATGAATAATACCTAATGACAAAGCTACAGACTTTTTTCGTGTTTAAGTGGAAAGAGCATTCTTTTCAAAATATGCAAAGGAAGAAAAAAACTGGCTAAAATTCTCATTTACTGAGCCTGTAGTTATTCTTTTCAAAGGAAAATATATACACTTTATAAATATTTAATTGCTTTTTTGTATTTAAATAAACCTAGGTCAAATGTTTCCTTTAAAATGAAGCATTCCAATAGACCGAACATGTTTGCCACTCAATGCCTCTTTTGCAAACCTTAGCAACCAAAAGGAGAGAAAGAACAAAAGGTGTGTGCCCTGCCACAGAGGGGCAGAATGGGATGGGGGTATGGGAGGGGTGGGAGGGTTACTGGGATCATTGGTGGTGGAGAATGGGCACTGGTGGAGGGATGGGTACTCGATCATTGTATGATTGAAATCCAAGTACAAAAACTTGTAAGGTCAACAACTTACATGGAGTTTCACTAATAAAAATTTTTTTAAATAAATAATCCTATTGCATAGTTCAAAAATAAAATAAAATAAAACAGTCTTATTTTGTTAGACAAAAACATCTCATTCAATTGACTTTTTAATCACAGCTAAGATAATATGTTACAAGAAGGTTAACATTCATGGTTTTGACGCACAAAATTACTGTACCTCCTCTACCATCAAAGTGTCCAACACCTTCATTGCTCTCTTTGTGTCACTTCTAGTCTGACTCTGCATTTCTCCAAGTCCCCTACCCCTGGAGCAGTGAAAAAGGAACCTTCATTCGCTGTTGGCAGGAGTGTCCTTTGGTTCAGCATTTATGGAAAATAATTTAGACATCTCAAAAAATTAAAACTAGGCCATATAATCTCATCAACAGTCATTATCCATAGACTCATATTCATCTCCTGGAAGAGAGCATAAAACAACACAACAGGTACCGCAACAGGCTGTTTCATTCCAGGCAACCTGGAGGAGGGAGGGTGAGGCCCCTCCATGCCTCAACAGAGCCAACTGTGGCAGCCAAAAACCTCCAGAACTCAACCACCACCACTCTCATGGCTGCTCTCCACAAGCTCGGGCCAAGCCCCAGACATGAGTGAATCTATTCCTTGACATCTCATACTTCACATCACATATTCTAAGAGTAGCACACCACATTTGATGGGGTTTAAAGTAGAAGGCAACCAATATTAGGGGCAAATATATATATACACATATATGTATATATACATATATATAAAAGCACACAAGACTCAACCTTTAACAACATGTTAGTAATCTCTTATAGAAGGGCTTAATGGCTCGTGGGTGAAATACAACAATCTTGACACACTTTCCTCTAAGAAACATTTTTGGATCATTTTTCAGCAGAGTATTCATAACAAACAATACAAAATAAATTATTTCAGTTCTGCTTTGGGACAGGGGTTGGGGTTCGAGATGGAAACATCTGAAATATGGCGGTGGGAAGGTATAATGGTGGTGGGATTGGTGTTCAAATATGAAATGTAATTAAATATTGTGAATTACTTTATAAAAATAAAATAGTACTGGGGCTGGAGCAATAGCACAGCGGGTAGGGCATTTGCCTTGCACGCAGCCAACCCGGGTTCAATTCCCGGCATCCCATATGGTCCCCTGAGCACCGCCAGGGGTAATTCCTGAGCGCAGAGCCAGGAGGAACCCCCGTGCATTGCTGGGTGTGTCCCAAAAAGCAAAAAAAAAATAGTACTGCAGCACTGTCCTCCCATTATTTATCGATTTGCTCGAGCCACCGGGCTTTGATTCTTCCAACCCTCTCAGAGAGCCCAGAAAGCTATAGAGAGTATCCCGCCCGCACGGCAGAGCAAGCTCCCCGTGGTGTATTCAATATGCCAAAAAACAGTAATAATAAGTCTCACAATGGAGACATTACTGGTGCCCACTTGAGCAAAAGTAAAATAAAATTTTAAAAATTAAAATTAAAAATAGCAACAAACAATTAAAACTACGGCCAGAGGTATAGTACACTGGATAACAAGCTTGCCCTGCACATGGCTGACCCAGATTCAATCGCCAGCACCATATATGGCTCCCCAAGCCCTGACAGAAGTGATACCTGAGTACAGAGTCAGGAGTAATCCCTGAGCACAGCCTGGGTGTGGCTCAGACCCTATACTCCCAAGAAAGTAATAAGAGAGCTTCTATATGACCCAGTGGCTCTACTTCTTGGCATCTACCTCCAAGAACATACAAAGACATTAACTCAAAAAGTTACAGACAACTGATTTTAATTCAATTTACTGTACCAAGCTAGAGGAATACTTTGAAAATGTATGTAGCACTGTAGCACTGTCCTCCTGTTGTTCATCGATTTGCTCGAGTGGGCACCAGTAATGTCCCCATTGTGAGACTTGTTATTATTGTTTTTGGCATTTCGAGTGCACCACAGGGAGCTTGCCAGGCTCTGCCGTTTGGGCAGGATACTCTCGGTAACTTGCCGGGCTCTCCAAGAGGGATGAAGGAATTGAACCCGGGTCGGCTCTGTACAAGGCAAATGTCCTACCAAATGTGCTATCACTTCACCCTTGGGAATGCCCTGCCACAGAGGCAGGGTGGGATGGGGGGATGGGGGATGGGAGGGATACTGGGATCCGTGGTGGTGGGGAATGGGCACTGGTAGAGGGATAGGTATTTGATCATTGTATAATTGAAACCCAAGCACAAAATTTGTAAGTCTACAACTGTACCTCATGGTGTCTCACTAATAAAAATTTTTTAAAAAATAAAAAAATTTAAAAACTGTATATATCTTAAAAATGTATCTTTAAAGTTGACTGAAGTATTGTATAATAAATCACTATTGTAAGTAACCATGGAACATTTACATCTGCTATTTTCATAAATTAAAATTTAAATCATTTTCTTATTATGACCAACTCTGGAACCCATTCCTTGAACTTTTTAATATGCAATCTTCTCAGATTTCTCTTTATCCACTAACTCTCATCACAGCAGCATTTTCATTTACTTAGGGAGCTTGTTTATTTTGCGTTTATCATTGGTATCAGATACTATAATGCCTGTTTTCTGCTTAATGAAATCAGTACAGAGAAACAGGAAAAACAATTTATGCAAGATAATAAAATAATTCAGTGACAGAGTCTAGAATTCAACAATGCAAATAATTTTGTGTTTACATATGTACATAAAATTTTGGTATAATAGAGCCTGCATGAGTTCTAGTAATATCATCAAATTTATAATTTGCGTGTGTCAATTTATTAAGCTTCTCCTTAAAACGGGCACCACACGCTGTACAACATGAAACACGTTTATTTGTGGTTAATAATCCTCAGGGGTCATGATCTGCCTAATAAACATATTATATACAGAATCACAAGAAAGATGATGTGACTTGAAACCTGAACTTTTTGTCATTAAAACAGATGGAAAAAACATCTGCTATATTCTGTAACATCAGATCCACACAAAACCCTAATTAATGCCACGGAGGACGCTGATTTAATAATACCGATTCCGTGACTAAATTTCAGACAATGGTATTAGGGTACATTATGAAATGTTTAAATATTTGTGAAAAGCTAATTTATTAAAATTACCAAACATTTCCACCTCAGGAAGAGAAAGAGTGTCTCAGGGTGAGAAAGATAGAACCAGGGGATAGGGAACTTGCCCTGTATGCAGCTGACCCACTTGAACCCAGCACCGCATATGTCCTCTAAGCCCCCCCCAGGAGTGATCCCTGAGTGCAGAGGCAGAAGCAAGCCTTGAGCACCGCTGGGTGTGGTCCAGAAACTAAGCTTAAGAAAGTTAGTGTCTCAGTTCATCCTCAAATTTTTGTAGTACATAGCTATTTGAAACACAGGACACTGAGGTTCAGAGAGGTTTTCTTTCCGGCAGGAAAGGGCAGAGTTGGGATTAAAATTCAGGTATCCATTAAGAATCTTCTGATCCTCTCCTCTCAGGATGGGAGAAGCATGCTGAAAGTAGACTATAGACCAAACATGATTGCCACCCATTGCCTCTTTTGCAAACCACAACACCAAAAAGGAGAGAGAGAACAAAAGGGAATGCCCTGCCACAGAGGCAGGGTGGGTTGGGGTTGGGGGTGGGAGGGATACTGGGACCCATGGTGGTGGAAAATGGGCACTGGTGGAGGGATGAGTGTTTGATCATTGTACGATTGAAACCCAAGCACAAAAATATGTAAATCTACAACTGTACCTCATGGTGTTTCACTAACAAAAATTTCAAATAAATGTAAATGATGGAGAATGGGCACTGGTGGAGGGCTGGGTACTGGATCATTGTATAACTGAAACCCAAGCACAAAAATTTATAAGTCTATAACTGTACCTCATGCTGTTTCACTAATAAAAATTTAAAAATAAAAAAAAGAATCTTCTGATCCTCAAAGGAAGTAGTGACCAAAATATAAAGATACCCAACAGACTGAAATGAATTGCTTGTCTATCACTTACCTGATAAGGGGTTAATATCCAAAATATATAAAGCACTAGACAAAACTAAGCAAAAAATACAAACCCATCAAAAATGCGGGAAAGAAATGAAAGAAAATTCCTCAAAGAAGAAGTGCAAATGGCCAAAAGACACGTTAAAAATGCTCTACATCTGGGTAGGGCGTTTGCCTTGCACGCGGCCGACCCGGGTTCGATTCCCAGCATCCCATATGATCCCCTGAGAACCGCCAGGAGTAACTCCTGAGTGCAGAGCCAGGAGTAACCCCTGTGCATCGCCAGGTGTGACCCAAAAAGCAAAAAAAATGCTCTACATCATTAATTATAAGACACATGCAAATCAAAGCAACAATGAGATATCACCTCACAGCACAGAGACTGGCACACACACACAGAAAAAACAAGAACAGAGACTGGAGCGATAGCATAGTAGGTAGGGTGCTTGTCTTGCAAGTGGTCGGCCGGGATTCGATTCCCAGCACCCCATATAGTCCCCCAAGCACCGCCAAGAGTAATTCCTAAGTGCATGAGCCAGGAGTACCCCTGTATATCACCGGGTGTGACCCAAAAAGCAAAAAATAAAATAAAAAAGGAAAAAGAACAAGAATAACCATTTTCAGTGTGGATGACACAGGGACCCTCCTTAACTGCTGTTGGGGATGTTCACTGGTCAAGTCTTTCAGGAAAATAATATAGACATTCCTCAAAATACTAGGACTTGAACTTCCAATTGACCCAGCAATTCCACTTCTTGGCATGTACCCCAAGGACCCAAAAGCACAATGGAGAAAAGGCATTTTCACCCCTTATGTTTCTTGAAGTAATATCCAAAATAGCCCAAATCTGAAAACCACCCAAGTGTCTGAGAAGAAGTAACTGAAGAGAAAATATGGTATATATACAGAGTGGACTATTGCTCAGTCATAAGAAAAAGTAGTCATGAAATTTATTGCTACCTGGAGGGACCTGGAGAGAGAGTATATTGCTGTGTGAAGTTATTCAAAGGGAGAGAGAGCAACACAGAATGATTTCTCTCACATGCAGGATAAAAAGAAACATAATGGTGGTATAATGAATAACCAAATTCAGCAGAAACAAAGAAGATGAGAACTGTAGCACTGCACTGTCTTCCCATTGTGCATCGATTTGCTCAAGCCCAGTAACATCTCCATTGTGAGACTTGTTGTTACTGTGTTTAGCATATCGAATACGCCACGGGTAGCTTGCCAGGCTTTGCCATGTGGGCGAGATACTCTTGGTAGCTTGCCAGGCTCTCCGAGAGGGGTGGAGGAATCGAACCCAGCTCAGCTGGGCTGGCTGCATGCAAGGCAAACGTCCTACAGCTGTGCTATCGCTCCAGCCCATGAGAACTGTATGCACTAGGAAACATGCCACTTGACGGGCCTAGGGAACAGAACAGGCAGGGGCAGTATCTATGCTGGAGAGAAACATTCAACCTGGATGAGGAGGTGATGCTGAAATGTGATCAAGTGCTATGTATGAAAGCCAATCAGCAATGGGACGTAAATCACATTGCATAAACATTTTTTTAAAATGGCCTCTCAAAGAAGCAGATGGGTGGGTGGGAAGCAGATGAGGGGATGGAGAGAGAGGCTGTGGTGGAGGTCAGTAGACACTCGTGAAGAGATCAGTGTTGAAACACTGTATGCCTGAAAGCCAATCATGAAGAACTTTGGCATTCATGATGAATTAATTTTATAAAATTTAAGCACATCAAATAAAACTCGGGCTGGAGCAATAGCAGAGCAGGTAGGGCGTTTGCCTTCCACACAGCCAACCCAGGTTTGATTCCTCCATCCCTCTCAGAGAGCCCGGCAAGCTACCAAGAGTATCCCGATCCCACGGCAGAGCCTGGAAAGCTCCCGGTGGCATATTGGATATGCCAAAAACAGTAACAAGTCTCACAATGGAGACGTTACTGGTGCCCGCTCGAGCAACTCAATGAACAATGGGAGGATATCACTACAGTGCTAAATAAAACTCACGTCTGTCTGACAGTAGATCACACTGCCTCCTAAATCTTTAACTACCATTTTCAAAACAAGGTCTTTGGAAGAGGGAAAAAGAAAACAAAAACTTACTCGATGGGAAAAAGAAGCTTAGAAAAGTTTTCCATGTAGAGTCTTGTCCGAGAGATGAGTCAGCAGTATCGTCAATGTCATGCAGAACATAGTTTCCTGTAGATCTTGGAATACTCGATCCTTAAAGGAAAGTGAAATAATTAAGCCAATATATAAAGCATTTATCACTTTCTATGACATCTGAGTAACAATTACCTTTGATCAACTAAGAAAAATCTAAGAGCTAGTAGATACTGCACTTTCATTTGCTAACAGTTCAGGTACGATTAATACAATCTGATTCTGCTGTGAAACTGAAAAACTACTTATTCAACTGAATACTTAGCTACAGGCCAACAAAATTCACAACAGTGAACTGGCCTGTGGTGAACAATGGCATTCAGAGGATCAATCAAGTGATAATTTGGAATCAGTATATATTCCGATTAAATCAAACCTCATCACAAAAACGGTTAATGTTATCTTATCCATTTACTGATAAAATTAATGTCTTCAGACAAAAGGAAAATTCCTTATCCCTCTTCCTCATTTTGTCAGATAATCTGCTTTATGTTTTATTGTCCTCCTTTATAAAAGTACAGAATATTCATCTTCATTACCATAGCATGTCTTTGTCCGTACCATTAAATATTTTCTAATACTCTCTTAAGAATATAACAACATTTCATTATGTTGCTCAAATTCAACTCAGCTATTCCCCCACTGAAAGAGAATTTTGGTTCATAATTCATTGATGATACAAAGATACTGCAGTGATTATGGAAAGTATCATGTTAAGTGAAATGAGTCAGAAAGAGAGGGATAGACATAGAAAGATTGCATTCATCTGGGGAACATAAAGTAACCAAAGAGGAGACTAACACCCAAGAGTGGCCGAGATTAGTACCAGGAATTTTGCTCCATGGCTTGGAGGCTAGCCACACATGCTAGGGGAAAAGGGAGCTCAGATAGAGAAGGGAGCACCAAATAAAGGGTGTTGGGAGGATCCTCCCAGGATGGGAGAATCATGCTGAAAGTAGACTATAGACCAAACATGATTGCCACTCCATGCCTCTTTTGCAAACCACAACACCCAAAAGGAGAGAGAGAACAAAATGGAATCCCTGGTGGCGGGGGGGGGGGGAATACTGGGATCCGTGGTGGTGGAAAATGGGCAGTGGTGGAGGGATGGGTACTTGATCATTGTATAACTGAAACTCAAGCACAAAAATTTGTAAGTCTACAACTGTACCTCATGGTGTTTCACTAATAAAAAATTTTTTAAAAGATACTGCAGTAATTATCCTTCGAGATATATATTGGCAGATATATATATATATATATATGAAAATATCTTCAGGATAAATGTTAAAGGAACGGCTCTTGACATGATACATGTCTGAGGCCAACTTCCTCAGACATGAGGCCAACTTCATTGCTTGGCTCAAGCGGGCCCAGTAACATCTCCATTGTGAGACTTATTGTTACTGTGTTTGGCATATCAAGTACATCATGGGTAGCTTGCCAGGCTTTACCATGCGGGCGAAATACTCTCAGTAGCTTGCTGGGCTCTCTGAGAGGGCCGGAGGAATCAAACCCGGCTTGGCCAGGCCAGCGGCTTACAAGGCAAACGCCGTACTACTGTGCTATCACTCCAGCCCAATGTTAATATAGTCTTATTAAAATATTCTTACAGTCAAAAATTAAAGCCTTTATGTTTTAATGTTTCATTTAGAATTTGTGAATCGACATTACTAAATGAAGGGGTTTTTTGGTATGCTGTCTCTTTAAGTTTGGACATGAAGTTATATCTAATTTATAAAATGATCTTGGATGGTCTCATTTCTTTATCCCAAAACCATTTAAAAGTAGCTTAAGAAACATGTGACCCAGGAAATAATTTTGTACAGAGTAAAAAGCTGATTTTTCCTTAAACAATTTTTCACTTTTTCATGGTCATGAGTCAATTTTGTTCATTTTTATTTTCCTAAGAAAACTAATTTGCCTTAAAAATTCAAATTAAGTCTTAAGATTATTCACTTGTAATATTTAATCTCCTTCTTATCAATGCTATCTTATTTCTAATTTTAATGTGATCACCTTTTATGCATATGGAATGTATAAGTTTGCAAGTTCCAGTGAACTATTATAAATGTTGACTCAAACTAGATGATGTTATTAAACTACTTAATATCTTAAATTTTTCATTCAAGGGCTGAAGTATGTGTTACAGCCTCTTATGTCATCACTGAGGTTTTTGTTCATTTCCACTTGAGTTTCTGAAACCAACTGTTTTATACATTTCAACATTATCTCCAAATGTTCCTTAATAACAATTTTATCTTTACTAGCTATTATGTGTCTTGACAATACTAAAAAGCCCATTCTCTCCTATTTTTCTCCTAATTCCTATATATTCAACACGTACTTAATACCTTCTGTATTCTCAGTTTGGGGTCTCTATTGGTGAACAAATCAGGTAAGATCCCTGACTTTAAGAGGCTTAAAGTATAAGTGGAGATTATTGATTAAAAAATATGTAGGTGCTGGAGCAATAGTACAGTGGGTAGGGCATTTGCTTTGCATGCAGCTAACCCAGGTTCAATTCCCAACACATTTCACCTCCTGAGCACTGCCAGGATTTATCCCTAAGCATTGAGCCAGGAGTGAGCCCTGAACACCAGCAGGTGTGGTCCAAAATTTAAAAAATAAAAATAAAACATTTTTCTATGAAGAGTGGGGTATCAATTCAACACAAGTTATGGGAGCAACTTTTCCCCTGGGGTATAGTTGAGTACTGAGACTCATCATTGAGGCACTGGTTTTGCGGAAGTGCAAAACTGACAAGTAAAATAAGTCATTCAAGTTCAGAGATCATTTAACATGTACATTCTTGCTCATTTTAGTTAGTATCCACTGAAACAAAAAACCACTGTTTTCACATAATATTTCAAGCACAGAAAAATGAAATGTTCCTTATGCAAAAAGGTTAACATAAACCAGTACCCAAGGGGGGTTTTATTTTTTTTTATTAAAAAATAATTTTAATAGTGAGACATCATGAGGTACAGTTGCAGACTTACACATTTTTGTGCTTGGGTTTCAATTATACAATGATCAAATACCCATCCCTCCACCAGTGCCCATTTCCCACCACCACGGATCCCAGTATCCCTCCCACCCCCCCTCCCCCCTCATCCCACCCTGTCTCTGTGGCAGGGCATTCCCTTTTGTTCTTTCTCTCTTATTGGCTGTTGTGGTTTGCAAAAGAAGCAATGGGTGGCAATCATGTTTAGTCTATAGTCTACATTCTGCATGCTTCTCCCATCCTGGGAGGATCCTCCCAACACCTTTATTTGGTGTTCCCTTCTTTATCTGAGCTCCCTTTTCCCAAGGGGGATTTTAATGGGTGTCTTTACTCTCTGAAATTGTATTTAAGGTGAAAACGTGGGTGAGAGATTAGAAGTTAGATCCACAGGTTACAAAAACTGAGATTCACATTTCCAAAATGTGACGAACATCAGCATTAACTGTAACATTATTATTCTGTTATATATTCATTCACTTAAAAGTGTGCATGTTTGTATATGTGTGTGTGCCTGTGACGGAGAGAAACATATCAACACTATCATGGTATCACACGAAGCTGGCATCACTCACAATAGGAAAAGCCTTTATAAAATCTTAAACACCCATGTTCTTTCCTCCCCCTATACACTCACCCCTCCCAAATCTGCATCAGCCAGTTTCTAGATCTTCTCATAGTCTCCTTTACACCCAGAGTCCAGTATCTTTCCCTTCCCCCATTACATTTCATATGCAGAATATTTCCATCCTCAGGGTCTCTAATTTGCATCTATACACTTATTAACATGCTCAGCAAACAAAAGATTAGAAACCAGTTTCTTTCAACGGCATCAAAAAATAGTAAAGAACCAATTTTACTTCCCAATCACAATTTTGTTTTTTTTTTTAATTTCTGTATTCCCAAAGGAAAAAAAAAAACAGAATAATACCCAACTACATTTTAAACGGGGCAAAACCTCAAATCAAAGGCATTCATGAGCAAGCCATTTTACACAGTCTTAGAGAGTCAGGTGCTTAAAAGAGCTCCACGCTGGTTTAATGTTGGCTATCATCCTGAAATTCATAGTAAGTGTTGAACAAGAGGCTGTGCCTTTCCATTTAGAAATTAGTTGCCAGTCTTGCTCTGCAGGCAGGTCTCTCAGGTAAAGAACTGGATTAAAGGCTTGGGAGACTGAATGTGAAAAGACATATAACGATATCAATTTGCAAAGAATTCTGCTCAGGCTTTATTAAGCAGAGGGTCTACACATCCTGCAGTCTTTCCAGACTCCGCCTCCAAACACCTGATTGTATATTTTGGCTTTGCCATCTACCACTTGGTGAGAACCTAAGCAAGGCAATAAACTTTTCTGTCTTGGTTTTGTTTTCTTTAAACTTGGGATAATATTTTTAAATATTTTAAGCGTTAAATGAAGTCATATTGAATTCTTAGAAAAATATATAGTCAGTAAAACTTTTTGTGACCATTAATTGTTAATTTTAACTGTTTATAGCTTTAAACTGACTATTTCTTTTTCAAATATTTTTATAAATAACACCATTTTAATAATTTCAAATAAATAATTCTCTTAAAAGCATTTTTCTATTTATAGTAACTATATCCTAATTTCCTTTTAAAAATACAGCTATGGAATAAGGTGAGATATTTGCCTTGCATTTAGTTAAACTGGGTTTGATCCAGCACTCGATATGGTACTTCGAGTCCCTCCATGAGTGATCCCTGAACACAGAGCCAGGAGTAAACTCTGAGTACCACAAGGTATGATCCCCAAAACCAAGCACAACAAAAATATTTGGAAAGGGAGTTCCAAGAAAAATACATTAAAAACTGGTAATGTTTAGATAACCAAGAATTGGGCCAGAAAGAAAACTCATGCAGGAGGCCAAGGTTTGATCTCAGCATATATTAGGAGAAAACTCTTAAAAGCCTTTAGGTGTAACCAAAAATTATATTCCAAAAATATAACCAAGAATTATAGAAGTTTTATACAAAGGACTGAGATAGGGAGAAACACCCATATAGTAAAATGACAGTTTTAGGTGTGGTAACTCCA